AAAAAATCCCACTTAAAAAAGCATCAAACAACATACTAGATATAAACTTAACAAAATTTGTAAGATCTATATATATACATACACTGAAAACTAAAACTTCAGTTACTTCATTTCTGTCATTGTGTGCGCCTACTTGGAGTTTCTATGTTTAAAGTTCAAAATAGCTAGAGTGAGTAAGAACTAGAAAGTACTATTTTTGCTTAGTAAGTGCCAATTTTTAGTTGATGCAAAAATATTTTATTGGTCCCTGGCCTGGTAGCTCAGTTGGTTAGAGTGTTATCCTGATATGCCAAGGTTTAGTTCAATCCCTGGTCAGGGCACATACAAGAAGCAACCAATGAATGCATAAATAAATGGAACAACAAATCAACAACTCTCTCCTCCTTCCTCTCCCTCTCTAAAGTCAATAAATACAATTTTTAAAAATTTTACTGAATTATATTTTAAATGGAAAATTATTTTAAAACTAAAGAATAAAGGAAATGCTTACATGGTAACTTTGCCATATAGAAAAGAATATATTAAAAAATTATCTGCTTTGTGATATGAAATACATTACATATCCCATTGGTCTTAGCTGCCCTTTGCTGGATGAAATGGTTTGAAGTGATGTAAGTATGTGCTTATGTTTGAACTTGGTTCCACCACTTGCTATCTTTATGATTTGGGGCAAACTGTTTCTTAGTTTATACACATACAAAAAGGGAATAACATACCTACACCTAAACCATAATCTTTTAGGAATTAAATGAGTTAATGCATGTAAATTAGCTAGCGCAGTGTCTCCCTAGTACAGAGTAGGTTCTCAATAAATAGTAACGTATGACAACCTTACTCATGTTTAAGGAGCCTGACACACAGCTTGAACTATCAGTTACCTCCTTGTGTGACAAGATCTTTTCCCTTTTGGTTAAAATGATCAATTGCCTGTATTTAAAATTTTTATTATAAAAGGAGTTAGACTGTAGGAATCACAAATCTATGAATAAAGAAATTGGGGTCTATAAAAGTTAAATTCTGTTTATGATTTGAGCTAGTAGGATCAGACCCAGACTCCAGGCCTTCTAACGCTTGGTCTCATTTTTAATCCTGGTATCTGACTATAACTTTTTAAAACCCTTTTCATAGGTGAATCTCTACTTAATAGGATGAAAACAAAGTACTGCTGATCCAAATAATACATACTATTAATATATCACAGCACAACCAGGACCGTTCTGAAAGCTCTGGACATTAAGTTCCTGAAGCTGATACAGAAGTTGCCCATCCCCACCCTGAGTGGTTCAACTACATAAAGTTAATACTAATCAGTTAACTAGAAAATTATGTAAATCAGAGCATTTCATTCCCTTGGCAAAAGATGAGGTTTCTAAAACTAAAATGACATGTGCTCGAGCTGTGATGAGTTAAGACTCTAACTACCCATAAAATTGCCAGCTGCTCTTCAAAGAACATTTGGTCTTTCCTACTCTGAGCTGTAGCTCCATAGTGACTCTCAATCCTGGCTGCACATATGAACTGTCTGGGGGAACTTTCACAGAAAAATATGCCCAGGCCCCACTCATGAATGCCTGAGGTTAGGACCGAGCTTGAGAGCTGCCAGCTTAACTTATCCAGATGGAGCTCAGGTTTTTGTCCAGTCAGGAATGGTACCAGTTCAGTTCTCTATTTAACCAGCAACATTTACAAATGAAGTTTTCCTTTTCTGCCTTAAAATCAGAGCACATAACATGACAAGAGAAATCATGAATAGAATCTTTTCAGTATGCCATACATTTTTTTTCCCATTTAAATCCTCACAACAGCTCTGTCAGGCAAGGTAAGTCGATCGTAATAACATCCTTGAGCTACACCTAGATTGCCCACAATTGTGCACATCTAGTAAATTCCTACATATTCCTAAGCCTATGATCGTTAGACTGGATCACCCTGCAGGCTGTCCCAGAGGCGAAGGCCTTCCCTGTAGTACAATCTCACCACGTTCGGGTTATTGAGTAGTTCAGTGATAGCAGGGAGATGCAGGCAAGGTGAAGCAGGCCCGGTCAGGCTGCCTTTACCGAGACCAGAGAGCTAGAAACAAGGAGGACCAAGGATGGTAGATCAGTTGGGGAATACAGTAAAAGTCATTAAACTAAGGTATGTGATAATTTTAGGAAAATTAGAATATTTTAAAGGGTGTTATTTTTGAGAATCAAAATATTTAGTTTTAGCATCTACTTGAGGGATGCACCATATCTTATCATAGCATCTGATCCGTTTCCCCGCCACTCCATGTCACAAATGCTTGGCAGAGTATGAGTAAATTAATGAATTAATACATATTGATGGATATCATTAGAAATTTATTACCAGAAAACAGCCTCCATCCTAATGACTGGTCATTGGTTGAGCTTTTGATTGGCTTAGCCGATTTCTAATAAACTGATGAAAAATGTTAACTATTGAGCAGATTTCATACTCTTGTTTCCCAACCCTGTTGGCAAATTCAAGTCAGAAGCAAAATGTGGTTGAGCACAGAACTGGAGCCAAGATGACCTCATGGCTTCTGTTCATGCCTGAGGCAGGCACCTCCTCTGAGGGAATGAGAGCCCCAGGCTTAGATCTGATGGTCAAAGCAGCCAGTCCTGACCAGTCCCGAGGAGTGGCCTGGGAGAACGGGGTTACACCACTGCAATTTCAAGACAAAACCCCCGGCCCCTCCTTCCACCAATTATTCCAACCAGATTCCTGCACCTAAACCCCTACTATAAAAATCCCAAACCCTCCACATGATTATTCATTAAAAAAAAAAAAAAAAAACTTCAGTGACTACTAAGTGCCAGGTGCTGGGGATACAGCAGTGGGAAACAATGAGACAAAAAGCCTGTCCCTGTGGGAGCTTACATCTGAGTAGGAAGAGACAGATAGTGTCAGAGAGGAAGGCAGAGAGGGAATCCTGAGGGTGGGGGTAAGAGTGTAGCAGTTTCAAATATCAAGGACGACATTACTGAGAAAACATTTCAGCAAGACCTGAAGATTTGTGGGCATCTAGGGGAGGACCATTCCAGATCAAGGAATCAGCAAGGGCAAAGGCTGGAGATGGGAGGTTGTATTCAGGAAGTAGAAGGAGAGCGAGGTGAGCGAAACTGAGCCAGGAGCATAGCAAGAAAGGAGGTAAGAGGAGTAGGGCACTTGAAAGACTTTGGATTTATTTCGACAGAGATGGGGAGATAGGTATCAGAGAACCAGCAGAGGAGAGGCATACATATAAGTGCGGTGCAGATCTAAGATAAAGGTGATCATTACAGAACATTTGGGTGAAAATTAAGTTTAGGAAACCTTGACCCTTAACCTGGTTCAATGGTGAAGCATATCACAAAGAGAAAGGAAGCAGCTTACCTTGTAGGAAGCACTTAAGGATTTTAGAAAACAATGTTTCACGTAAAAAGCAGTATTTATTGACCAATACATTCTGAGTTAGGAAAGAATGTTTATGTCTGGCTGCCTTACTGACTTGAAGATAGTGCCTACGTATTTCTGAGAATTACAGTTTGTGGAGGGGAACTGAGCATGTTAGAAGTGCTTTAGAGGAATGGTAATGAACCATTTGTTGGAGGTATTGGAAAAGATTCATCTTTAAGTAAGGAATGGGATCAGATGTGGTTCTTTATAAAGAATGTAAAAGTAATTTAACGTTTTCCCATAAGGAATCAGAGGGTATTGTTGGAAATGGCTTAAGTACAGAGGAACTGAGTTAAGTGACAATCTAGCAAGAGATAAAAATATAGGCAAAAAGGTCTTTAATTTTTCTTTACTTCATGTAATTAAGAGTTTGGAAACTTTTCTTATACTCCTGAAGTTTGTATTTTTCTTTCACAATTATTTTTGGCATGCATGCGGTTTGACTTTAGTGTCTCACCCAAGATTACCAAGACTGGCTCCTTGAACCCCTTTAAGGCAAACTGTTGCTCCTAAATCACCGAAACCTTTTACTCTATGGTGAAATTTTTGGATTGCCTGTCCAGTGTATGGCGAATAGCAGATTTCCTCCTTTCTCTGGTTTTAAGGAGCCTGCTTTATAAAATCCCTAAATTTGGTTTTTACAACTGACTCTTAGCCAGCCAGACCTCTATAATTGGTGCCCCCAAACTTTGAGGGCTACTCCCAACACCAATGCCAACATTTCAGAGGGGGCTTTGTCAGATTTTCTCAATTTAAAAAATTAGATTGTTGCCCTGGCTGGTGTGGCTCAGTGGACTGAGCGCTGGCCTGCGAACCAATGGGTCACCAGTTTGATTCCCAGTCAGGGCACATGCCTGGGTTGCAGGCCAGGTCCCCAGGAAGGGGTGTGCGAGAGGCAACCACACATTGGTGTTTCTCTCACTCCCTTACCGTGTCTAAAAATAAATAAACAAAATCTTTAAAAAATTTAGATTGTTGATTATTCCAATTTTTCTACATTTACACTAAAGGGTACTACAGTGCACAGACAGTGTAAGTAATTATTGTTTCCTCAGGTTGCCATGGTATAGCTTTTCAAGAGATCCTTTCTCAGATACTAATCTGAAAAATGGGGGCAGGGTAACTGTTACCTACGGCTAGCAGGATTCTCCTGAGGATTAGGCAAGCAAATGCACTTAAAATGCTTAGCACACTGTCCAGCACATAAAGTGCTGGGCAGCTATTAGCAACTACATAATCCCTTGTGATAGCTCCATTCTACCAATGAGCAAACAGACTAGGAACAATATAATGACCCAAAGTCACAAAGAAAGGCAGAGTGGAAGTTAGTTCATTCCTATACTGAGGTTCTTACATGCCATTCTACAAAGTGCGAGGGATCAGGAAATGAAGTAAACTCCTCCCACCCCCCACCCCCAACTTGTTCCCGCAATTGTAGGGCTGGGAAGGGCAAGAAAGGCTACATAAAACCCACAGCGATACAAAAAGTACCAGTTCCCCAAAGGGCCAAAGACCAGGGCACCGTGGCTGCCCCCAGCCATCAGAAGTCTGAGCCATCTCAGGGGCATGACCATATCCGCTTAGTAACATTTACAAGAGCTTGTAGAAAGACTCCTTCTCAACTCAGAAGGTGACCTCAGAGCTGAGATCTAGAGGTTAAGTAGTAACCTGTGCAAGATCACAGAGCTAAGAAATGGTGGAGGAACGGTTTGAACTTGGGTGTTTGAACTTGCTCCCATCTCTTACTTTTGTATGAACATAGAGACTGCTTAATTTACCAAGAACCTAGGACATGTGGATTATTCTTTGCTAATTTATACGAAGGAATATGGGAGGCTTTAAGAGATGCTCTTCTGAATTTACCTTGAAGGATTTTCCTAGACAAGATGCCTTAAAAAAAAAAAAAAGCCGTAGGATTAGTGAATAAGTCTCTAACACTTCAAGAGTGTATTGCCCAGCTACTGAGGTGAAGAGTCAAAGTTAGATTTATATCCTAGGATCCAAGGCAAGATTGCCGTTATAGCTCTAAACCTAGTTGATTCCTCTGGGTTTCATTCCAGAGAAGGCTAGAGGACTAACACCTAAAAAGCTGGAAACAAAGACACGTACACTTCTAGGTGTGGATTTTTATTTCACAAAGAGACAACAATGCCTTCCCACATACAAGTATTTACAAAACCCAACTGATTCACCGACCTAGAACCTGGGGTTTTTCCACTTCTCAACATAGTTGGGAATATGGAAACATTAATACCCACATAATTCCCAAAGTTGGAATTTATCCATCAAACAGTACAGATTACCTAAAAGTGCACTTACCTGCACAACTCAGTCTAAGAACCTCAGTGATACAAACCTCATGGCCAAGGTTTCGTTATCTATTTGGTCTCATACCATGCAAACCGGAACAAGTATGCTGCAATACTAAACTGAATATCGGTTCTCATTTACAATTAAAAAGGTTCTCAACACTTTAGCAACTATATATAATATGAAGGTTTATTTCAAAAAGAGTACATTTTTAAAACCAGGATACACAGATGCACTTAATGTAACAGTACCTTCTGCAAAAATAGGTTAAATAATACTCAGAAACGCAAGGAACAATCTTATTCTCTAAAAATTAGACAGCAGACTTTTTAAACTTAGCCTTCAAAATGAAGGCTGAAAATGCTTGGTGACAAGTAACTCTACAGCCTGGTACCACAGAGCTAATGCTGCAAATGAAACTACTACCACACAGCTGCAACTACTCTATATCCACACAGCGTTCAGCAAAATGGTTTTAATCCCAATCCTCTCAAATGTGTCTCGGTGCTACAAGAAAAAAAGTTGAATGATACACAAAACTATTAAAAGTTACAACAGAACTATTTAAACATCTTCTCCAAAATTGAGAAAAGCAATCATGTTAAATTTTAAAAAAGGAGAAATAAAGAAAAGTCTCAAGCAAGTCAGAGGTCCTCTTCGTGAGTAGTCAAGTAAAGTTTACTGGAGATTTCAATAAATTATCCTGAAACCATGGCAGAGAGCTAATTTTCAGAATCGTCGTGGAGGTCCACCTTTAAATGGCTTAAATCCAGAGCCACTTCCTCTTGGCATGGAATTGCCACCGATTTGTACAATTCTATTAATTGGGGAGGCATTACTGAAAAAGGTATAAAAGAAAAAGAAGTCAGAGAACAAAAGAACAAATAATTACAGTTAATAACTACAAAGTGCTTATAGTTCACCGGGCACTATTCTTTGTACTTTACCCATATTAAGTGATTTACTGTTTTCAACAGTCTCATTTTACTTATAAAGGAACTGATCTGGAGGTACAAGATCACAGAGCTAATAATCGTGGAGGCATAATTTGAACTTGAGCAGTGGATCTTGCCTCACAGTAAGCCATGTAATGGTATGCACATGAATGGACTGAAGCAGTGGTTCTCAAAGTGTGGTCCCCAGACCAGCACCAGCTAGGAAGTTGAATCTCTGACCTAGAGAACATCATTCAAGAAATGTTTCTGGAATTTTTTATATGTGTAATGCAATACAGTAGGTACTAATGAGTGAAACAAGAGAAAAGATCTACCAAAAAGCCCTACAACAATTTTGGGAGATAAAAGTCCACAGTGAAATGGTATAAATAGAATAAAACTAGTTTTGGGGAAGGTTTGAATGCCAGGTTGAGGAATCTGGATTAGCTCCTGTGACCTAGAAAATCAGCTTGTGGTTCTGGAGTAAGGAAATAGTATAACAAAACAGTACCAATAGTTAAATTTAGAAATAATGTGAATAATGGAGCAGAAAAAAGATTAATTTGGGAAGATCAAATAGAAGCTGAAATGAGGAAGAAAGCATAGCTATCACACATTTAAAAAAAAAAAATGAACCACACTTTATAAATTCATACTAGGAATGAAGAAAGATACACCTGGCTGGTGTGGCTCAGTGGATTGAGTGCCGGCCTGCAAACCAAAGGGTCACCAGTTCAATTCCCAGTCCGGGCACATGCCTGGGTTGTGGGCCAGGTCCCCAGTAGGGGGCGCACGAGTGGCAACCACACACTGATGCTTCTCTTCCTCTCTTCCCATGTCTAAAACAAAATAAAATCTTTTTTTTTTAAAGGGCTAAAAATTAAAATTAAAATTAAAAAAAAAAAAAGGAAAGATACAAACGAGGCCCATGGTTTTCCAGTCTGGGGGGATGAGATTCATGGTGGCACTGGCAAATTCGAAGAAGCAGGAGGCAAGAACTACGACATGAAGGTTTGAAACGAGAGGAATGGGTTTGTCTGTGACCCTGAACTTATGGAGACAGGGCTTGTAAATGCAGATGACAATATAGACCTCCATTTGCAGGAGCCTTCAAAAGAAATCAAAAAGGTAGAAAGAAGATGATGATGGATTAGAAACAGAAGTTTCAAAAAAGGGAAAAGCAATGGTGGGAAACGTGCTTATCCACCGAGGAGCCTAAGAACTAAGAAAATAAAGGAATCTATTTATCAGGAAACAAAGGCATTGGTGACCTTTAAAAAACAAAGGCAGAATGAGTGATGAGGCTGTGCAGGCACAAGTATAATAAACATTTACATTTGATGGTAGATGCAACCTATAGAAGAGTAACGTGGGTTACTCAGCCAAGCCCATATTTTGTCTAAGGTGGGGCAACGGCAAAGGAAGAAGGGCACGCAACAGAGGGAGAGGCCAAAGACCTGCCTGCAGAAGGGCCACAGTGGATGTTGGTGCAAAGACAAAGTAAAGCTCGCCTCTTAGCACATGAACAGGCTTTGGGTTAAATGTCCAAAAGTTTTGTAGGAGTTACAATATTTGAAAAGGAAGCAAACATACTTTCAGTTTTCTTTTTTCTTTCTAGGAATTTTAGGAGTGGTAGGTTGTGAACAAGAAGATGGTTCCAACTTGAAGTTAATGTTCATTATCTACTGGATTCTGACACACATACGTGCCTGTATCTAGATCAGTATGCCAGAATGCCAATCAATTAACTTATATTGAGGAACATAAACTGGCAAAAATTAACATCAGCTGCCCTGCATAAAATCTGCTGGAGATTTTGAGTTAATATGGGGAAATATCTGAGCAGATCTGGGGTTGTCACTATTCAACCTCTTAGAAGCTGTAATGACCTTTAAGGAAAGAATAAGAGTTTGGTTATGCGCCGGTGAAAAATTCTTAACTAGTTAACAAGTTACCTTGCATGTTGGCTTATCATGCCTGCCCCTGTCCGGCCATCACCCATTCGCCTTGTGTCATGATAGCCAGGCCCTTGGGAAGGGGGACCATGCCACTCTTTCCTTGGTCCGCTTGTATCCCGTCCATGGCGCTCAACCACGTGTCGTTCTTCAGGATAGTGCTGAAGGAGAGGGTATGAACAGAGAAGTCACGACACCTCAGCCGCACGCCACTTTACTTATGCTAGTGTGCTTTTAATGCAGAAACAAATTAGTAAGATGTCTGGGAAGATAAATGAATCAATAACACAACAGCAAATATAAAGGATTTCCATCCATTTTACTCAGGGTAAGATATGTGGGAAATGATTCAGCACTGTAATTGCTATTTCTATACCTTCTGGCATCCATGTACTTTCTGACCCTTGAGTACTTCTGGATCTCTATATAATGCCCGGATCTCTATATTTATATGTAAGAAGGCATAGGGAGGGGTCTTAACCTTAAGACAAATTAGGGTGAAAGACCAATATGTGAACACATAAAAACAAGAGCCGTTATATCACAGAGTACTAGGTGGTGCTCTGGCTCTGACAAGGTCTTCTACCCATGACCATGAAAAACAGAATACTGAACATAAAGAAACAAAAGCCTTAGAACTAAGGATCTGAGGAGAGAAGAGTCAAAAGTTATAATACGTCGCTTACAAAAACAAAAAATGAAAGGTGCCTTAGAGGGATATTAGTGGTAGAACAATATATAAGACTTACATTATGAAAAGTAGAATTTTCAAGGGAGAAGCACGATCTCCTCATCAGGACGCCTTTCCTAAAAGAACTTCTGAAGGCAGAGGGCTTGTCTGTGAGACAGCCTTAAGTTTTACTCTAAATAAAGGAGCACATCTGACTGTACACCCAGCCTTAAAGCTCTATTTAGGGTAAACAACTCAATGAACTGACCTCCTGAATACTTCTACTGATGAGAAACATTATAGCTTATAACACCATCAGGCCCACGTCTGTATCATAACTGCTCTAGATGAAATGGAAACTGTATAGTGTGGTATTAGCTAGAATGCCAAGGAATTAAAAATTTTTCTAGTAAAGAAAAAAGGTTCCCCCAAAACCTCGTATTTTGTATTTAAATAGAAAGCAGCACCAGAGTATAATGGAGGTTGAAGAATGGATACACACAAACTTCAGGATTCTTTTTTATGTATAACTTGAGATGATACTCTGTATGTGCTACTTCAATCCATATGTCAGTATATAATCAACAGAATGCTTTTAAATTAATCAAAAGGTTTTTGCTCATTATAGCTGCTTGAGAGATGAAGATACTTTCTTCTGTCCAGGTTCATTAAAACTCAAACATTCAAGTCAATAAAGTAAAACAAGAGTAAAAAGCAATTTAGAACTACAAAATTTTTATTTCAGTTCTACAGTTAAAACCGCTTAATGGCTGACTTCTGGTCAAGATGGAGGTGTAGGAAAACATGGATTGCCTCCTCACATTACTACATCAAAATTAAAATTAAACTATAGGACATTCTAAACTGTTGTTCAGAACCATCAGAAAGAGTTGAATGGAAGTAGGACAACTACGGAATTAAAGAAACCACATCCACCCGCCGGTAGGAGGGCTGGAGATGCAGAACAAGCTGGTCCCACATCCACATGTGATGGATAAAAATTCGGGAGAGCTATCTCGGGAGCAAAGAGTCCCAGTTCCACACCAGGCCCCCCAAGACCAGGGTTCCAGTGCCAGGAAGAAAAGTCCCCATAAATCCTGGCTGCAAAAGGCAGTGGGGACTGAGTCGGTGGAAGAAACTTCTAAAGTCCCAAGCAGTTCCTCTTAAAGAACCCACACACGGACTTACTCAGACTCACTCCGTCTGAGCTTGAGCACTACGGGAGCAGCTTGAAAGGCACCAGTGGCACATAGGGAGGAAGTAAAGTATCTGACATCAGGGCAAGAGTTGGGGGGACAGCTTTCTTTAGACAGAAAGTCGGGCAGAGGCCACTCTCCCTGTTCTGAACCCTCCTCCCACAGAGCCACAGAGCCAGCAGGTGGGCGCCATATCTGAGACTCATCCACGGAGCTAGAGCTGTTTGCCCCACCCTGGAGGTCCCTGAGGCTCCTGTGTCCCACCCAAGTTTTGGGCCCTTGCAAGCTGTAAACAATGGCTCTTCCATAGGAATGGCTAATATTGGCTCAGGCTGCACAACTTCCTAAATCCTCTCAAACTAGCAATATCCAGCCGTAGTGAGCCCCCAGCCTCCATTCCTCTAGCTAAGTGGCCTTAGGCCTGGCACTAGCAGCAGTGAGCCTAGGTTCAAGCTTAGCTTCACCTGGGAACCTCCAAGCCCAGAACAAGGAGCAGCCATCTCAGATTGCTCTATGGCTAAGACAGGGTGGCCCTGGGCAAAACACAGGTGGGGGCTGACTTTGGCCTGCACCACCCAGGAAACCCCAGAGCCTGCACACAGAGTGGACAACTACAGACTATTTCAGAGCACCACCACCCACCACCCTGCCCCTGGCACAGCTGACCCTCCAAGTAGGGTGGAAGTTGGTGGTCAGTCCTTGCAGCTGACTGGCCTGGGTAAATCCCTCCCATTGACCTGCCAAAAGCAACCAAGGCTCAACTAAAAGAGGAGGGTGAACTCAGCCCACTTGAAGGGCGTACTTTGAGTATCCAGCTTAGGTGATAGGGGAGGCTGTGTTACTGGACCCTATAGGACACCTACAACATTTGGCCACACTACCAAGACAGGGAGTCATAGCAGCTCCACCTAGTACATAGGAACAAACTGAGGAAGGTTGCCAAAGTGAGGAGACAACAAAACATGGCCCAAATGAAAGAACAGATCAAAACTCCAGGAAAAGAGCTAAACAAAATGGAAATAAGCAATCCACCAAATGCAGAGTTCAAAACACTGCTTATAAAGATGCTCAAGGAACTTAATGAGGACCTCAGCAGAATAAAAAAGATCCAGTCAGAAACAGAGGATACACTAATTGAAATAAAGAAAAATTTACAGGGAAACAACAGTAGAGTGGATGAAGTTGAGAATCAGATCAATGATTTGGAACATAAGGAACCAAGAAACAAATATGCAGAAAACAAGAAGAAAAGAATCCAAAAAAAAAAAAAAGTGAGGCTAGTATAAGCCTCTGGGCCAACTTTTAAAAGAGGTCCAACATTAGCCTCTAGGGGTGCCAGAAGGAGAAGAGAAAGAGCAAGATATTGGAAATCTATCTGAAAAAATAGTGAAAGAAAACTTCCCTAATTTGGTGAAGAAAATAGACAGGCAAGTCCAGAAAGCACAGAGTCCCAATTATGATGGATGCAAAAAAGACCACTCCAAGACACATCATTATTGAAAGGCCAAAGGTTAAAGATAAAGAGAGACTCTTAAGAGCAAGAGAAAAGCAGTTAGTTACCAGAAGGATGCCTGGTGGGAGGGGGCTGGGAGAAGGGGTGAGGAGGTGAGGGGATTAAGTAATACAAAACAGGTAGTTACAGAATAGCCATGGGGGTGTAAAGTACAGCACAGGAAACCCGAAAAACTTATACACACGACCCACGGACATGAACAATGGTGGGGGGACTGCCTGCGGGAGTGGGGATGCTGGGGGAGTGGGGGGCAAAGGGGAGAAAATCAGGACAACTGTAATACCTTAATCAATAAAATACAATTTAAAAAAATAAATAAACCCAAAGCCCTCAGTAAGACTCATCTACCAAATGTAATAATTCTCAAATTTCAGCAGGAAGTTTAACAAAAAAACAAAACAAGAATTTCAGGGCTAGTATCCTACTTCTTTGGACTACCGAAGTTCAACTACTGAGAGTAAAGTATGGAAAATATTAAGATCTTTTTCAGGAAACTAGTTTCCCAATCATTCTAATCAACTAATCAAGGTCACAACAAAATGGTAAGTCCTCTAATTTGAAGAATTGAGAATAAACCTTAAGCCCTGGCCAGGCATTCAGTTGGTTAGAGCACCACCCCAATATGCCAAGGTTGTGGGTTCAATCCCCAATCAGGGCACATACAAGAAACAACAATGAATGCATAAATAAGTGGGACAACAAACTAATGTTTCTCTCTCCCCCTGCTTCCTTTCTCTCTAAAATCAATTTTTATAAAAGAGAGAGAGAATACACCTCTCAGAATTTACCTGTGCTCCACTTCCTCGGTCTGTGATGACTCTGTCTCCCTCTCTGTTTCCGTAGCCCGAAGTGTTACTGCGACTCCCATGGGGAGCCCCTCTTACACTGTGTCCCGACACTTCTCTCCCAGATCGTTCTGGCCTTTCAACCCTGTAAAACAAATTCCCAAAAAGTATGTGATCAAAATTCTATTATAACATTTTTTAAACCCTAATGCATTATATACCACAAACCAGGCATTAGGAATGACATAAATACCTTGTTTCCCGTTTGTCACTGGACAGGCCTCCTTCACCTTTCCAGGTGGACGGTCTAGACGGATTGGGCCCTGCTTCTCGAGGATGTCTAGGGTGAGTGAGATCAGGCCTGTCATGAATGATCACGGCTCTCCTCTCATCTCGTTCCCCTCGTACTTCAAGCCTGTCTGTTTCTCCAAGTTCGTTTCTTGGTGGTGGAGGTTCATTTCTTCTGGAATCACTGAAATTTTTGGGATACCTTTCAAAACCTGGATCTTCTCTTCGTGCAGTCGGACGTGTTTTTTTCCCTTCACTTTGACCAACAAAGCGTTCTCGCCTATTAGTTATCCAAAACAAAGAATATAGGTCATGAGAAGAACTTACTTGGCCTTATTCTTGTTAACTTTATTTGCATAACCTACAATAATTACACCTTCTGTAGAAAATTACCTTAGGGCAAAGCCATGAAAAAGTCCACAATTATTGATTATAATAATTCATATTCTTTTAAATTGAGCTAAATGCCTGGGATGAAGGTTGGCTTTTAGCTCTCTGGTGGAATTATATTAAACACTCAAATCACTACCAACATGAGGATATTTTACTGCTCTTAACAGTTGAGGCATCCAAAGCTGACAGCACTCCCACAAGTATGAAAAGCTAAGCAGATAAAGCCACCTATTTAACCTTGTAATGGTAGCCTACTAAACTAATCTTGAGCACTAAATCATATTTCCATTAACAAAAACCAAATATGTGCCCAGGCAGGGTGGCTCAGTTAGTTGGAGCATCACCCTGTTCATCAAAAGGTTGTGGGTTTGATTTCCAGTCAGGGCACGTACAGGAGGCAACTGTTCAATGTTTCACTCTCACATCAGTTGTGTGTGTCTCTCTCCCCCGCCCTCCCTTTCACTCTAAAATCAATAAACATATCCTTAGGTAAGGACCAAAAAAAAAAAAGAAAGAAAGAAAGAAAGAGACATGGAAAAAGAAAAAGAACAGAGGAAACTGCTGTGTTATGGGCTGGGAGCTGGAGTGTTTTGTTAAGATAACCTGGGCCTACATAAGATTTGGGAGTTATCTGTCTGTGATGAGACCAGCAAGCAGTAACTCAGACAAGAAAATGTGTTCTGTTCACCAGTACCTGCAAAAGGAGACATCATCCCAACAAATGGTATATGAAAATGAATCCACTGTCCCTTTCTCTAAACCTTTTTATATTTTCTAAATTAATGAGTTCTAAATACTGTTACTCAGCTTTAAACGCCACCACTAGGGAGAAAAAAAACGACTGAAGAAATAATTTGTTAATATATTTGCAGCAACAGTAGAAAAAATAAATCCAGGATATTCATTCATATACTAGGAAATCACCTAGTATAAACTGACTGCGATGTTAGATGGGAAGTTTTATGTTATCCAAGATGCAAACTTATTCTGTGTTTAAATCTGCATTATTATGTTAGTTTTTGTTGATTACTTGTTTTTCTTCATATTATAATCCTCTTTGGTTGTCCCTTGTAAATTCTGTATTGTAAGAACATGAAAAATTAAAATGACCAAGAGAAGTCGCTGATATGCATAGGCATATTTGGATAGTTCATAGAATCCATAAATAAAATGAGGGTATTTTTTAAAGTAAAGTAAAGTAAAGGAAAACAAAGGTTTGCAATTGGATGATTAATTTTCCATGGAGTATGATAACTCCTAGGCAAATTAAGTGACTCATCATTTGAAGGGAAGTCTTCTCAACTCCCTTATAGCAGCCAAAAGGATCAACTATTACATGTTTGAAGCCTAGAGTTTCCTTATTTCGAAAAAAGAGTTGGTCTAAAGTTATTGTAAAGGCAAGCATGGACATGGTTGGCCAGCTGAATTGGCAATTAGAATAAATCTTGACTGTGGACAAGTTAGCTGTGGTTGACTCCTGTGTGGCTGTAAATCATCTTCTGTCTTTAAAAGGACAAAAGCTGCTAGGACGTTTAGGTTCTGAAATAGGCAGTTTAGTCTTTGAGGGTTTCTTGAAGTACAGAAAGGCGTCACCTAAACACTACATGCCTAATCATCTCAGAGTTGAGACTCTTAACTCTTTAGGAGTTGGTCCACAGTGTAAATTTCAATCACTCAGATGTTTTCCCTGGTCATTTCTGAGGGTCTTTCACATGAGAGAAAGAAAAAGGGAAAGAGTTAGACCTTGCAGGTGTGAGCATGGGACCTGGTGGCCAACGGAAGTGTCATTCCCTGGAAATACTGGTTCAGAAGGCTTGCACTTGTTATTGTGTTAGCTTCTAAGCTTGGTGCTGAGAGCCATTTCATATTTTAAACTAGTTCAACTTCACAGTTCTAGTTATTCGAACCATTTGTTACAGACTCTTGAGGGGGTCATCTTGACTTTTGACCTGTAATATGTTGAGATGTTTTCATACCAGAGTGTACCAAAAGAGTGCACTGAGTGAAGGCAAGCTACAGAAAAAAAGTACACATCTTACTTCATTTGGAAAAAAATATTAGGTGGTGAATACACAATGCAGTATAGAGATCATGTGTCATAAAAATGTACACTTGAAATCTGCATGATCCTATTAATCAATATCACCCCAATTTAAAAAATACGATTTATTTGAACACTCAGTTCTGACCTGTACTTCGGTAAACTTTTAATAGAGAACCAAACATATCACTTGCAAGACTCACACACTACATACATCAGTTTTCAACATAATCTATTTACCTTTCAAAAGATGAAGACTGTACTGTTGAACTCTCAGGAAACCTGCCCCTCTCTCGGTGATCAAAATCATTAAATCTGTTCTGTTGGCGAGAATAGTCAGATCCATGGCTGAATCGTGCATCTGTATCTAGAGACAACTTTTTATTCTCGCTCCAGTAATGATCATCTCGCCTTGAAGAGAAATATTTGCTCATTTATATAAATTAGTATTATAATAATCAAACATCACTTACTCGGAGTCACACATACCACATGCTAGGAACTGTGGATATAGAGGGCAATAAACTCCAAACACAAAACATACTGTTACAAGAACGAGCTAGCAACAAATTAATAAATTATGTAAAGTCACATAGTGTTAGAGGGATTTCACAGGAGAGAAAATAGTTGAAAAACTGTCTATTTTAAAATTACTAGATGAAAAAAATACAAGTAAGATCAAGTAATAGATATACCACTTCATAGTAAAATTCTAAACAGCAGTATACAAACTTTTCAGTTATACTTTACTTTGGAAAGGATAGAGAGGTGAGCCCCAAGCACAATTCATTCATTATACCTATTTCTCAACACAATCAACTAAATCTCATAGAATTTACATTGAGAAAATTAAGTGACTATACTTTTCAAATGTATTGTGAATCATGAAGACAAACTCACAACAGAATCTACATATTTAGTCTTCCCAAGTTTATGACTTCCCCTTTTTGTACTATCTGTACTACCGTGTAAGAATTTTGAAAATAGGTATGAGTTTGAGAACCAACCCTGAAGCCTCCTAAGACCATTATTTCCAGCCATAATGGAAGAACGCCTGGCATTAGAAAGGAAAAAGGAAAAGGAGAGCAGGTCTTCCTACTTGACAACAGACTAGGTCCAGCCCATTACTACAATCATTCCCATCCCTGTTGATAATGACCTCTTATTCCAGTGATGGTTACCTGTCCTTGCTGGTTCTCTAGTTAATTGTGGCTTGAAAGGGGTAAGATAGGAAGTGGAAATGAAAACGCAACAAGCAAGCAACTACCTATGATCTACATCACGTGGGCGTTTCAAAGAATTCCTTTTTTCTTGTTCATAACGCAGCTGCTGCTGTTGCCTTCTTAGTTCCTCTCGTTCTCTAGCAATACGTTCAGCTTCCTTGCGTCGTTCCTTCAGACAACACAGAAGGAAGAGCAGCCAATGCAAAATGAAAACATAAGGTAAGTATATATGCAACCTTGTTTTAATCCTGTCATTAAGAAACCGTCATGGGCAAGCATCGGGCAATACATTTGGGACAAATACATAAACAAATATGACTCCAGGAATCAGTAATCTAGGCTATGGCTATTGTTCTACAACATTAAAAATAACAGAGATTGGGTGGTGAAAGCTGACAAGTAATTGGGAAGGTCAAATTTAGTTTAATCATTTGACTGAAACAAAGCACCTGCAGGGAATTAGCAATAGAGTTCTTAAAATGCATGGACACTAAGTGTCTTAAAACCCTGGATACAATTCTGCAGAGAGAGGCATTATTTCCTTCCAGCCTTGGGAAATCATTCCCACTGTAATATGCGAGGAAACAGTTATTATTTTCTAAGATTGGGATAGTGACAGAGCCTGGATTACAACTACTCTGGACTCACAGTCCTATGCTCAGACTACTAGGCTGCCATGATATTGCAGAGCTTGAGTTACTACCAGTTGACTAGAACAAAGTCACTACTATATGTATGTTTTTAACTAGCACCTAATTCATTGTTATCTTTCAGGGACACAATAAATGCTCATCAGCTAAACTCATTCTATAGAAGCTTTACAAAAGTAAAGCAAATTTCAGGGCAAAAATCACAGGGTTTGGAAAAGGTCAGTTATTTAAGATGAAAAGATTTTCTGACTGCACCTGTTCAATACGAATGCGTTCCCTTTCCAAGCGTTCGCGTTCCATTCTCTCTCTCTCTAGTTTTTGCCTTTCAATTTCTAGGCGCTCTCTCTCTCTCTGTAAGCGTTCCCGTTCTTCCCGTTCACGAATTATTCTAATGCGTTCTCGCTCTCGACGCTCTCTTTCTGCAATCTCTCTTCGTCTAACAAAAATCAGTATTTAGAAATACTTAAAATATGCTAGCACTGTGTAAAAGAGAATAGCTTTTGAATTGTTTCTTGAGATTGGCAATTTTAAACTTCAACTCAATCTAAGTATTTTTAATATAATTGGAAAGAAAACTAAAAATAAAACTTTAAACAGACTCCAACACTGTCACTTATTTAAGACTGTCAACTGAGCAGCTGAATTTTATAGAGTAGTTGTCTATTAGATGATTCCTGTTTAAATAAAAATCCCACTAATAGCCCATTAATCAACTGACAATTGAAAAAAGAGATATTCTACAGATACAAATTTACAAAACTACAACTTCTATTGTTTTTGATAAGAAAATTTCCAGTTTCTAATATATATGCTATCTCCTTAAACAAGGCATACCTTATTTTGATGACTTGGGAGCATGCTCATCAATATGAGTTATCCAGCAAATGCTATGTATAATAAAATGGCACATGGCCCTTAAGGGCTTTTTCAGAGTTTCACTGGCCCATAGTAGATGGCTCCGGGTGATGGGCGTTTTTGAGTCAGGAGGTAGTTCAAATGTTTGCTGAACTGAATTTGAGTTAACTTACTGTATTAGACTTTTAATAGTTTTTGTCATTTCCTTACTCTAAGGAACTCAATGTACTTTGTCTCTCAATATGTCTTCCTTCAGCAACCTAGTGGTTCTCAACGGGTCAGTACTCCCCCATGGAAATCCAAGGGGCATTTTTAGTGACTCCATTTACTGAATGGAACAGTCCTGCTCAACAAAAAAAAATCCACCCAACACTCCTAATTTCTTTCAAATGACATAATGGACATTTATGTCATTAAAACAAAACAAAATCACCTTTCAAAAATCCGAGCCTAGAACTTAACTCATTTTTAATAAATGCTAGTTTGGCTTGTTTGCTTTGGCAAGGTTTTATATACACTACAATTTCCAGGAATGCAGTTCCCTGCAAAAGAAGGGAAAATTATACTTCTTTGAGAACTTCACCAAGAGCTGTTCAGCACTCCAGAAATCATGTCAGAACGTCAACACCACTCCTGGTCTTTGACTCACCAATACGACACACCATTATCAGTCTGTACTTGTAGCTGTCACATTCTCATTGAATCTAAAGAGGGGAGCAAACATCTGACTACTTCATTAGGTCTTCTGGAGAGTCATGCCTAAACATTCACGTCTGGAATACATTTCCATCTTAATATAAATTACTTTCATTATCAATTACTTCTATTTCTCCTTTATGTTAGAGTTAAGGCATAATACTGATATTTGGAAATTATCTGTATAGGTAGGTAGGTACATTATATATCAATTTTATTTCAGAATAAACAGGATACCACTTTTTTATATATCAAAAGTATATGGGTCTGATAGTTTTGAGAATTGCTGCTCTAGTAGCTACTACTCTCAACCTTCTCAACTTGTCATCTAATTAGAAAGCTCAGCACATTGGGACATCATCAAAAAAAGGGGAAATGGCTTCTGAGTAATGCAAGGATTATTTCTTTTTAGTAAAGTGTATGGCAATCACAGTATTATTTAAGTTGATAAACGTATCTCTGATTGCTCCTAACACTCTTGTGAATGAGTAGATCAAATTCCATAAGTTACCTCTGAATTAGGTCAATATTTAGAAATTTATACTACAAAACACTTTCACAAAAATATTTTAAGAGGCATCCAAAAATCTGACATACAAAAGCCAACTGGCACTCATGGTGAGCAGCTAAGATACTGCCACTGAAAATAGAAACTTTTTGTTTTGTTCTCAGTTTCTTTTAGAGAAAATTCTATTTGAGTTAGAGCTTGAACAAAATAAGGTTTACAGGGCAAATTTTCCTTCACTTGGGCTCTAAGCCAAAGTACAATACATTTTCCCTAAAATGTCAACATTCTATTTGAACACTAGCTTACATTGAGACTATCTTATCTCAAAATTCAAGTTTTCCTTTTTAACGTGATGTGTTTTATGGCAGCAGCTTTGGAGAGGAACGAGCATTGGACTTGGAGTCAGAAGACTTGGGTCTGAGTCCCGACTCTGCCACTCACTAGCAATGTGGCATTGGAAGAGTCATTCAGCCTCTCTGGGCCTCCATTTTTTTCAGTTATATAAATGGCATAACTAACCTTACAGAACTGTTGAGACAGAGATAATCGATGGAAAGGTACTTTGTTAACTGTAAAATGCCATGCAAACTTGAGAAATAATTAGGTTTTACTGTACTTCTTAAAAATGGAAAAGAGCATTCTGTGGGAATACAATTTCCAACAGTATTAAATAGGTACCTAGAGTTAAAGAGAGGTATAAAATAGACTGTTTCTACCTTCGAAGTTCCATTGCATGTCGCAACCTTTCAAAACGAACTAAATGTTCTCTCAGTCTTTGTTCCTTCATCTTTTCAAAAGGTAAGATGTCTTTCCTTCTGTAGTCTTTGTCCCTTTTTTTATCTAGGCTAGCTCTCTCCTTTTCCTTGCTTCTTCCATGAATCTGTAAAAAGAATTAAAAAATAAAAATAACAACAGGACTATGTGTTAAAATAATTTGGGGCTTTGTTTCTCATGTTCAACTGGTCATTTAAAAAGCTTAAATGAGTAATGATATTCCTTTTTTCTTAGATTTTGTAGCATGGAATTATTACAGAGGTAATCACAGAGGAAGCATACAGAGATACTGAATTATCTTTTTTTGAAAACAGGTGGAACTGTATACAACATCTCTTTCAGGGACTTACTTTCTCATATCTTCCTCTTCTTGATGGTCTACAATGATCTCCTTTAGTTTGGTCTAGTATTACCATATGTCCGGGACTCTTTGAGCCTAAGAGAAAAAAAAGAAATTAGATAAGCAAATGTCTAAAAAAATTATTTCATTTAAAAAATATAATGTGAAAATGCTGAATTCGAAGACAACCAGATATTCACAAACCAATACATAAATTTTTTAACAACGTACTTATTCTATGAGAACATAAATGCAAGGTGTTTAGAAATGGTTCAATCTGCTAACACAAATATTTTCAGTGATAACAAAAGATCCCAACTCGACTACACAGCTATAAATCAATGACTGTTTTTAGTCAGCCCAGGTTTAACTGTAAAGAGGCTTATTGGGATGAATACATTTGTTTTCTAAGAGTAGAAAAGAAGAAAATTAGTCCTATTAGCCCCCCTTTTCTAAAACAGTAACACCTAACAATGAAGCTTAAGTATTTATCTGGTTTGTAAATTTCAAGTTGTCCCTTCCACTGTAAAAATTAAGTTGTAGAATATATTAGACAGAGATTGAGAAGAGAGACACATAGCATACTTATTCGCTTCTTTTCTTCACTTTTTTTAATCAATTCTGAAGTTTGGCCACTTGATCCATTATCATTCTTCTCATCTTTACCTTCTATTTTCTTAGTGTCCTTGCTTTCTTTTTTTTCGGATTTCTCAGATGACCTTTTTTCTTCTTTTTTGACAGAGGCTTGTGTCCTGGCCACCCCACACACACAAAAAAAACAACAGTATGAGAACTACTTCATCAATGTACCAAAAAAATCCATGTACTCATCAAAAAAATAAATCCTTACTTGCTACTTCTATCACTCATATTTTTTTTGTCCCCAGAACTTCTTGAACTACTCTTTTCATCATTTTCTTTCTTTAATTCTTTCTTAGAAGGATCACCTTTAACCTGAAAGGTTTAAACAGAAAAAAAAAAAAAACCTTTGTTTTAAAGTTACATATATTTATGATTATAAAAAGTATGTTGACAGTAGAAAATTTGAAAAACCTAAAAGTAAAAAAATAAAAATGAATGCATAAAAATAAAAACCATTCCTAATTCTACTCCCTAACAGTGTAACATCTTTAAACTGAGAATTACTAGTCCTAAAAGTAACCTCCCTTTCATAAACAGAAGGCAAACTAACCTTTTCAACAGAAATCAGCTGTCCATGCAGCTCAGTGCGATGAAGATGTGCAATGCATCTGGATACCTCTGTGCTTGAAGACATAGTGACTATGCCATAGCACTTGGCCCCAGGACTTCGAGCATTCGTGACTACTTTTGCACTTAGAACCTATAAAGTAAGGTTATACTTTACAAAGTTTTACATCTTCACAACTACACACATTTCTAAACAGATGAAACTTCAGAGACTATTCAAGTTAAATGATCTATTCAGGATACATAAATTCATGATAAAAGATAAATTTAGCATAGGTATTTCATATTCTTGTGATCACCATCTACCTTGCCTATAAATACATAGTAAATATTCAAGGGACCAATTTAAAGCATCCAAAAGCAATTAACCTACTTTTAGTTTTTCTTTTTATTTCTTTCAAACACACAGCCAAAACACAATTAGTCACATCAGTAAAGTAATGGTACACTTAATGAAAGTAAATAGTATTTTCCATTTAGACTTGGGCCAAAATTTCCCTGTGATAGCCACCCCACCTCCCTAAGTCTCTTAGAGGGGGGAAAAAAAGGATAAGTGAGTTTTAATACTGTTCTATGAGCTTATAAGAAGCTTCCAAAAATAATCATCCATATGTAGAAAAGCAGTCTTAAAAATACCTTGAAAATTGTACTTTAAAAAGACAGACTTTCCATTTGTCCATGTACACCAATATAAAAGTAACAAGTAATTTCAGTTCTATAAAATGAATAGTTAGGAGATAAATGGCAGAGACGGGTGAGTGAGAAAAACGGCGAGAGAGAACAACCTAGTGTGGAACAGAGAAGAACAGACATAATTCTAGGAAGAGGTCAATGGGATTTAGCAGGTGCATGTGTAGGAGGCTGGAAACCCAGCTTTTTTATCTTCAACTCTGGGAATGGCCAACTTGCCCCAACAGCAATTTTATCAAGTGTATGGTATCCTTATATAGTTTTAGTCCTCATAAATGCCAACATTATAATAATGTTTTATCTCTAACAGTACATTTCTGAAAATAAAACAAAAAGTACACCACAGCTGATCACAGGACTATAATTCTCAGTGTTCTGTATCTGGCACCTATAAGAACTCTTGAATTAAATTAGAACACAGACAAAACCCCATCAACTCCTAAGATTAGCAGAATAGATTTTTATAATATTCATAAAAGGCTATTTACCAATATAGATTTAATAAATATTTGAAAACCTGCCACCTGCACACAGAGTAGATAAATACGGTCCCTGTTATCAAAGGGCTTATGCTGGAGTGGATTAACATATGATGAATTTTTAAATGTAAGGTAGAAAGTAGCCAGTGCCCTAAGGGTTACAGATTAATTGCAATTCAATTCAACAACTAATAATTAAATATTCAGTTCATTATAGACTTTTTTTCTCTTCTATTAGTTCTCTCTTATATGTCAGAGAAACTCTCCTTAATGAACCAAACCACAGTGAAGCCTCTCCTTTTGGCTCTCCAAACTTCTGTTCAAGTATATTTCTGTCATAGCACATATCACTTCTGATAAAGTATATTTTTACCAGTTTTACATTTTTCTCCAGCACTGTACCAGGATCTGTATGATGACAGAGACCATGTCATTTTTGTTTTATTTTTTCCACTGCCTAATTCTAGTCTACCTATTATTTTCCACATGACCAGATCGCAGCTTCAGCGATCCTAGGTCCTAGGAAAGTCACGACTAATGTAATGAATAAAATTCAGTCCTTGACTTGAGTGGGCTCCACATATGAGCTCTTAATATGAAGATCCCCAGGGCTTAGAGTGAGATGATATGATAAAACTAACCGTTACCACAGAACTCAGTAATAATGCCTACAACAGTCCTAAGAGAAACAGGAAATTAGAAGATTTTATAGAATACTGTTTTTAATAAACCCCTGTTTCAAATAGAGATACGATTAATAAAAAGGTAAAAAGAATGTACCTTGCCATATTTGCCAAAGAGGTTCTTCAAATCAGCAGCTTTGGTATTAGAAGAAAGTCCACTAACCCAGATATTTTTAGTTGAGCTTCCACTGCTACCACTAGTGCTGCTTGTACTTCCTAGAATAGATTTAATATGAGATATTTAAGTGTTTCGATTGGATTTTTAAAAACAAAATTATTAGAATATTCTTTCAAAATTATAAAAACTCATTTAAATTGACAATATGACACTACTACATCAGAAACCAACCACAGTAATAGGCAATCCAACTATAGTAAGGAAACAAGTCTAAACACTGCATACTTCCTACTACATGAGTTTTAAGTGGGTAAAAAAAAAATCAACTACTGGACTTTTGCTGTTAAGTGTTAATAAATTATACTCTACCACTGAACTAAATAAATATAGGCAACCAGAAAGCAGTCATCTAGGAATCTAAGACTGCTTCGTTACCCATATTTGTTATGGGCTTTAGATCCTGAAAAACTGGGAGTGCAAGAGGGAAAAGTCAAAGCAAGGGATTAAACTGTTTTCAAGAATTTAAATGTTTAATAATAAAGACTAACCAACCAGCTCATCTTCTTTCTCTATTAGAAAAAGAGTAAGAGAAAGTGGGAATTATATGCCGTTGGAAAACTCTGGATTCAATAAAAGTCAATCTTCTAAAACAATTTACAACAGTAAGAATGGAAACCTTAACATTCTTTAGAATAGGCAAATGATTATCTAAATCATTTCTGTATTATTTCCGTATACAAATTAAAGCTTCACACATACAGATGCCACTTCTTAGAGTACAGGCCTAGTTAGTCACCCTTCAGAGCTTTTCTTCAAATGTGCTGTTATAGAAGGGGAATTTTCATTCATGTGACTTTATGTGGAAACTAATTCTTACCAACTCTAAAAGAAACAATATATAAGCAATAAAAAGTAACAAATTTAATAACTTCAAGTTAATAAATGTAGAAAGCATAAAATTTTCAATGTTTTTTAAAAACTACATGTCACAAGTTTTAGCTGAAAAATTAAGTCAGTGTAGGACCTGGCTGGGTGGGTAGCTCAGTTGGTTAGAGCATCATCTCAGTACGCCAAGGTTCTGGGTTCAATCCCTCATCTAGGCACATACAATAATCAACCAACCAATGAATTCATAAAGAAGTGGAATAACAAAACCATTCTCTCTCTCTCCCCCCCCCTTAAGATATTTAAAAAATTAGTCAAGTGTAGACTTATGAGAAAACAACATACACCTCACTTAAGTATTTTTCATATTAATGGTTGCTGCATTTCTATTCTTAAGGAACACATTAATCAAAAGGATCTGTCCTATCTTGTGAAATGTTAACCAGAAGCTTGTATATCTTTATGTTTCCAGTAACATATGGGCCCAGATACTTTCTAATTACAGATTTAAACATTTTTAATAGGAAAAAGTTAACTTTTAACCAAGACTGCTGCTTCTGAATTTAAGGGATAACACTTAATATATTTATTATACTTTACCCATTGACCAAAGCTGTAAGGGACGTAGGTATTGCAATTAATTGTAATTTAATAAATCAATTATAAAATTTCTAACTATTAAAACATGCCAAGAAAACACACTACATAAACTATGGGCCACTGAAGAGGCACTGTAGGACTGTGTGTTACCTGAATGGTGTTTTTTCTCTTAAAATGCTTTTTTAGAAAACAAGAAATATTTTTCAAGTAGACAGCAAATAGTTTCATACAAGATGAAACTATAGTGCATGCCCGTGAGATAACCAGACTTCCCAATAAATAACAGGAACCAATCAAATATTGTACCTCGAAACTTAGAAGAATTTAAAATAAAACTATTCTCCTACATAAAATTTCCATCAACCCAAAGTAAGTCAAATTAGGAAGTAAATTCTGAAGAATTAAAACATACTACATACTATGTTACTAGAAGTGTACCCTGATTTGAAGAATGAAAAACATAAAACCAAAAGTTAAAGATTGATTTTCTTTTGAATATTATATTCCACAAGTATATACAAGTATAATTCATAGCACATTTCCTTTTAGAAAGAACAAGGGAAAGGTTATGGTAGTGTATAGGGGTTACAAATGACTTCAGCTAAAGATAAAATACTTCCGAAATTATAATTTCAGAAGAAGATGAAATATCTATTATATTAATATTCAATACAATTGCTTGAAAACAATGTTAAAAATACATCCCAAAGGGTTTTTAGCATACTCAAACTAGTTTACCAATTAACCAAAGAGTAACGGTTTTCATTCACACCAAGGGTATGTTGTAGTCTAATTCCACAGTTTACACACAGGCCATCCAAAATTTTTAGCACGTCAATTGTAAGGACTAAATGTTAAAGAAAACCCCATGCAATTATTCCTTTTTTAATGAAATTATGTATTTTACCACTGAAATAGGAAAAAAAATCCATTACCTTTGTCATCTTTGGATGATGTCTTGCTGTCTTTAGATTCCTTTGAAGAGCTAAAGAAGCAAATCACCAGAAGAAAATTGAAAACAAAAAACAAAGAAACAAAAATCGAACAGCTTGATATTAACTATATTTCAAACTGGTACTATTCATACAAATTAACAATTCCAAAGGCCTAGATTAGGTTATTTGAACAAATGACTCCCTTAGGATTCTTGCACTGATTTTCCCCAAGATGCCTGAAGATCTAGATTTTCTGACAATTCTATTCAGTGGATATATGGCCATCTTCTCCAGATTTCAGAACTGGGACTTGACTTCATTTTGTGTTGTTAGGACTGATAGTTGTTCATTAACCATCATCACAAGGATTTTTAAAAATAAAACACAAAAAAATTGTCAATTTGAAAAAAAAAAAACAAAAAACCAACAAAAAAACCAAATATATGCTGACAATTCGACAATGCAATCAGTAGAACACACTGCATATTACGAAGATCTTGAAATTTTTTTTAAAGTAACTTATGACGGTCAAAAATATTATAGGCAGGATCATAAGTACTAATTACTGTACATGGTCTTGAAGCCACCCCCTTAATGTAGAGTGATCTTATTGAATGCTGGAATTCAGTATCGTAAAGAACTGACATAGAAAAACAAACCTCTTTGCTTGACCAGAGGCCCCAGTAGACGAGGGCCCTTTCTTCAAAGTATCCTTTTCTTTGTCTCCAGATTCTGCTTTCTTAGAACCTTCTCTGGCTTCCTTCTCGACAGGATCACCCTTCACGCAGTCTTCCTTCTTACCATCTTTACGGTTCGCATTCATCTCATAATCCTTGCTTTCCTTCTCCGGGCTCTGTGCAATGGCGTCCTGCCCATCTTTTGGCTTAGTTGCTTCAGAATCTGTAATTTTCACATTTTTACCTGTTTCTAGGAGGTCATCACCATCAAAATCCAGAGTGATGGCATCTTCAGCCTGGATTGTGACCGAGATGTTGTCATCCTCAGCTTCTTTCACAGTCGCATTAGCTTCCATCGCTTCATGAGCTGTGTGATCAGCCTCAGCTAGGTTCCCTTCTGAAGGAAGAGGTTTAGATACTTCTTGTGTACCATCACCAGAACCTGCTATATCTAAGAGGATTTAACAGGAATAAATATGGCAAAACAAGAAGTTTAAACAATTTCATATTCATAAGCTAGAATAGGACCTAGAAAATATAAAGCCAGTTATTAGCACTGATGGAAGGTTAGGGAAAAAAAAAACACAAGGGTATTAGCTAACATAAACAATCCTTTACCCAGGATCACTTATTCTTCATGGAAAAAAATGATCTCTACATACAGATACCAAACAACAAAAGTGAGAAAAGGGTTCCATCCTGAGGATACCAGCTCTTCGTTTCTGGTTGTAAGTTAGTGGTATGCAGAAGATTTTTTTTCCTCCATGAGACAAATGTGAAGATTTGTTATTCAGTGTTCAAATCATCCTGGGATTTAGCCCTTGTGACCTTCAGAACTCCCATGGTGACGTCTTGAAAGGTCACAGCCTGAGGATTTCAGTCAGTCTTCAAAGTATTTCAGGGTCCCATATTTTACGCTCTTCTTATTCAATTCTTGGGTAGTCCAGAATCATATGGAAAACTGCTACAAAAGGCTCCCAAGATGGCCAGCTCCATTGTTTTCAGGAAATCGGTTATTTCCAGTCTTCATCCTGTCCAGTCAGTCCCGCAATTATCGTTTTCAAAGATATCTCGCATTCCCCCAAAGTAGAAAGGCTTCAGGCATGTGAGATTTTCAGTCAGTAACGTTACTTCATCATTACTTCTAGGCATTTTTATTCTGTCTTGCTTAGGACCCTGCTCCAGGTCCTTTCTAGTCCAAAGGAGGATCCTTTGACTTCTGTCCAAGAACTCTCCCATAATCTTGTACTGACCACATGTATTGCTACAATGTCCCTCTTAAATGTATTATTGGATGAGACAGCTCTCCTAAACTACTAAAACTGTCAGAAGATTGTACGTAAAGTTTGCCTAAGCAGCAAACAAAAAGTCAGTCTCCTGGTTACCCACCATTTTTAGGAAGAGCTGCAAAATTAACTATCCATTTATATGCCACAACTCCAATAAGCACGTATGAGTTACTGTAGTGCCAGTCTCATGATATAATCAACTTACCGTATGCTAAAAGTTTCTTTTTTTTAAAGTTGGTTAAATAAAAAATGGCATTGTCCACTACAGTAACTGATATGTACTGGTAAGTTAGAACATCTCTTATGTGTGAAAAGAAAATTAAAGCCAATTGAAAAATAAAACCAAGATACTAACTTAATTCCCTAAATTGATAAAATTTGAAAATAAACTTATTTCAAAAATAAGATTTCAAATATGGAGTGCTTTATTTTCACATAATTTACTGTTTTTCTAAATGTCGGCAATTTTAAAACTCTACTTAGCATCACACATACCTTTCTCATTTTCTTCTTCCTCACCATCCTGAAATTCAAAGAATAATCAAATGTAAAATGAATTCACTTAAAACTGAATTTTAGTAACAGTACAAAATCGGTCAACTTAAATTGGTATATAATTTAACAATATTAATTAGGGATACCAATCACTAACAAATGTAGAATATTCAAATAAAAACCAGAATCTATTTAGAGAAATGCCTACTATGTATGATTTTAGATAAGAAAACAGGCAAATCCATCAAAAATGAGATCAACAATGTACGGCATTATTTATTTTCAGTATTCAAAGCTAGTTTATATAACCGGAATCTTACTCATATTAAGAGCTGCCAATAAAAAGAATGACCTGATTATTTTATGTAACTCAGTTCACTCTTAAGGCATACTGTTCAAAATCTTAGTAGCAGAAAATAAAACCTGAAGACATATGAACTTAAATGTCTATTAATATAAAATAAACAACAACAAAAAATTCCCCTTTTAGGCATCTCGGAAGTAAGAAGGAAGATTACAAAAGTAGTTAGTTTCAAATTTCATTCCTTCTTATCTGTTAAAAATGAATTCATAGTTGTCACAGACACTGGTGGCCAGCCACTTAAAAAATGGTATTTGTGCTATAGGTAATCAAAACAAATAAAACGTTCTTTTTAAATGACTGATTTTAACATATGTGATCTTCACCTGATCTAAAACTGAAAACAGGAATACCACAAAAAGAAAAACATTATTTACACCAAGCAAATAAATACCACAAAATCCCTTAAGTAATCACACAAAGATAGAACCAAATTAAAGATCATCTTGAATAAGGAAAACAATATGCATTATAATCCCAGTATGGAAAAAAAATTAAGGATGTTTTAATTTACAACTTTTAAAAATAAAACCTGTGTAGAAGTAGGTCATTTTCAGTCGAGGTTGTGTGAATTTACCACATACAAAGCCTTAGGGTAGTGGTTCTCAGACTTTGGGTCTGTATCAGTGTCCCTGGAAGGGATTGTTAAAACACAGATTACTGAGGACCAACCCCAGGGTTTCTGATTCAGGTCTGGAGTGGGGCTTGAGAATTTGCATCTCTATCAAGTTTTCATGTGATGCTGACGCCGTTGGTCCAAGGACGACAATTTAAGAACCACTCACATGCTTCAGAGTGATAGCCTAGCAATGAACAAAGACTTACAGCAACATCTACCTATAAACAAAACTTTAAATGGCATATTTATCTTACAGCACAATTTTAGTTTCAAATAAAAGCATGTATTCCTTAAAACAGAAAATATTTTACCATACGCTCAAAATTACATTTGGATAACCACATTTCTAAGAAATCATTTTAATGATTTTTTTTTTACTTTAAGTTAACGTAGAAGTGTCCCAGTTAAGGAATGACCAACTGTTTTACACACTAAAGTAATATGACAGAAACTAAAAACACTAAACCAACTAAGCCACATGATTAGAAAGTAAAATAGTCCAAAATAAGTTTATTATTTGATAGCAATGTGAGTCCTTTTTTATTACCTAAGTCCATTATAGTGTGTTCTAATGATCTCTTAATTGTTGTATTGTTTTACTGGAATGCATTGCACTGAATTTAGCTGTAATCATTATGTTTCTAATCTGTAACATTTGGAAAGGAAAGAAAAATGCTCAACTTGGGTGGAGCGACTGGCAGTGACAGCACCGGATGAGTTATGCTGGAATCATCAATAAATCTTTTCCTTACAAGTTCACTTTGACTTTAGAGATTTATCTTGGAGAGATAAGTAAACTGCAATGCCTTAACTTTTACTTAAAAGCAGAACAAATGAACTTAAGAAATGTAACTTGCCTCGCCCCTTCGTCTACCTGCGATGCCATCAGCACACTTCCAAGTTAATCTTTTAAAGACATGATATTGGTAGGTTTGAGAAAAAAATGACCCAACTATTTGCTATTCTATAAAGTAAAATTTAAATACTGTAATGTAAAAAAAAATGTTTTCTGCTATAGTGCTTACCAATTAGAAATATTATTTCTAGCTGCTAAGCTGGTAAGGTTTGCCTTACCCAGCTAAGGAGACTTTAAGTATTCATCCTAATTATTCAACGTGTCTTCTGAAGGATTTCATAACTTTAGTTTCTCAAGACAGTGCTGTATTACATATACTTAAATGTCTCTAGAAGACTCTTACCCAGCTTCTAGAACATAAAATCAATTACCATAGGGGTAAAACACAAAAACAACTAAGGTTAAGAGAAAAGTTGAGCCATGTATCAAATGCACATTTTATCTTATTGTGCAGTTATGTGCAGTAAACATAGCACTATTAAGGTTAAACCAAAAGTCAAAAATGTCTAAAAGCCTTTGCAATAAGGAAACAAAGCAAGAAATACAAGAAAGAAAATGGGTCTAAGTGATACATATGCACAGACATGATTCAAACCCAAAGCTTCTCTATTTCTTTTTATTTTTATCCTAGTAAAAGCAATGATTACTAAGAGACAAAGACAGGGCTAAGACTTATATTTCGGTTAACAAAGTGTTTGCTATATACCCATTCTATTACCTTCCCCCAGGTTAATCTTGTGGCGCGCGTATGTATCGTGTGTTAAGTAAGAGGACCTCCTCTGGAAGGCCTCCCTTCCCCTGATTTGACGGTAAACACTGCAGTCTGCCTGGCTAATTTAAAACAAACCTTCCAAATAACCTGTCTGTATGGCAATATGCTAAAGATCACGGGAAATACAAAATACCCGGCACATAATAAGCACTCAAGAAAATAGTTGTTGAAAAAATTTACTGAATAAATGTAGTGAAGACACTACTATTTTTAGGTGGAGGGATTGAATTACTGCTCACTGTTATACATGTAAAGAGCTTAACTGCAGCAGTACAGTAAGTACTGTACAACAGCATTCATAAAACCCCATTTACTAGTGTGGAATTATTTAGTGAAAAGAATGCCAGATTAGGTAGGCATCATGAGACCTAGGTGTTTATCCTGTGTTTACCACTGAAACAGTTTCACTCTGTGGTATTATCATCTATCTAGATGAAGTTTACCTATAAAACAGAGTTAACATGACCTATATGGGATATATAGGATTAAATAAAATAATGGGTGTAAAAAGTGCTTTGTAAAAGGAAAAGCATTACATAAGAGAGAGTGATATCAGAGAAAGTTTAATGGAGGAGATGGAGATAAATCTGGCTTTGAGTGGTATATAGCCTTCCTAGGACAAAAAAAAAAAAAAAGGGAAGGTCCTTCAAGTTAGTAAAACATTAGTGGCAGAGGCACACAGAGAAAAGAATATACATGTGGTGATCATACAAGAAAGAAGAGATTGAGACTAGAAGAAATTTTAAGAATTAAAGTATTAGCAAATACAAACATTTTTGAGAAAAAGTTCCAGAAAATTCTCAAGTAACTGCTGTCTTAAAACTAGTAAAACAATAATACAAATAACCACTAAACACACATGTACCATGTGCCAGGATCTGAGTAATCCTCACATCACTCTAGCAGGTAGGAACTATAATGTTTATACACACAGAAAATGACTAAGAAAACCTGCTAAAAACCATAATATTGTTAGTAACTAAAAAAGTATAATTTGTACCAAATTCTATCTAATATGACAAACTGCCTAGAGGCTAATGTCTAATAGCAAAAGTTTTAAGCTATAAGTCAAAGCTTGAATATTGGCTTTAAATAAATATACCTCTAAATAAATATATTGCCTATTTGCTTATATTTTTAAAAGCAAATAATAGAAGGATAAATCATGACTTTTAAAGTTTACCAATCAAGGATGGGAGAAGGGGACTTTTAGACTATATCTTGTCTCATAGTTTTGACTTTGGAATCATTTAAATAATTATAAAATTAGATCAAATTTTCTAACTTTTTATTTTGAAATAATTATAGACTCACAAGAAGTTGCAGATTAAATTTTTTATAAAGCAATACCTAGGAGCCACAGTATTTTTTCCCCCATGCTAATAATCAAGATACTTAAATTAGAATGTGGCCATTTTGTTAAATTTATGAGACTACAGTTCTGAATTTTTGGTTAAAGGTTTTGGCTGCTGTAAAAATGTCATTTTGAAAATATTTTAAGTTGTAAGGATAAAAGAATTTTTTGTTAAAAAAAGCAATACCTAAATATTGAAAATAAAATTAAACAAGTCAACTTAAGTATATAATGGATGGTGATAGTACAACCAACTATATACAGCAGAACTAATACAAAACACAGTAATTTGTCCATTCTTAGAAGAGACCTAACTGGGGAAAAGAGTCTTAAATTATTCTCAATAATCATATTGGTGTTGGTATTATCATCCTAAGGCTGTTGCGGGTGTTCTGTGGAAATAAATGAAATCATTAACTTAGAAGTATCCCTATGAACTGAAAATCTATTCTATCTTAAAAGGTAAACATACACACATAATTCTCTAGCACCGCAAAATGAAAAGGCCTAGAACATATGAAAGGCCAGTAACAGTGAATGCCCCCCTACTACTGAGATTGCTGTCTTGAAATACCATTTACCAGTAAAAGAAAAAAAATGGCTAGTTCTAGGTCTGCAATGGGAACTAGAACATTACATACCAGAAAGCAAGGAGGCGATCAGACTAATAAATAGGGTCATGTTGAAAGAACTCAAGAGCCATCGTGAGGAGGCTCCCCTTAGTTACAGATGGGACAACATCAGCATTAATAAGAATAACTACAATGGACTGAAGTACATTAAATACATTTAAATCCATGAGTTCAAAATGAAACTAGGGAAGAAAGGAGGAAAAATAAAAAACTCGTTAGTCACTGTTGGAGGTGCTGAAGAACCAGTTCATTATTCAGGAAACTGGTAAATAAAAGGAAAAGAATCAAACATATATCCTAACTTTCTTTTGTAAACTGTACCATTGGGAAACCAGATAGATAAGAAGTTTCTCTTTCCAGAAAGATTCCAGGTAGTAAGGGAAAAAAATCATAGAAGCAGAATATCACCCCTTTAATCAATGCGATATGGAACCTCAACGATTGGTCCCATCATCAACAAGACAAGGCCAGGCATTATATCCATCCAAATGGAAGAATACATCACCTATGAAGTGGTTGTGTGTGTGTGTTCACAGGTGGGAGGCACCTTGAATTGGAGAGCAAGCCAACAGATTCTATAACCAACTTACCAGTTTACAGGAAATACAATAAACGGAGGAATATGTAGAATGATTGTATAGGAATGTAATCAGCAAAATCTAGACTTTGGAAGTTGTATACAGGGTTTGGCAAACCACAGTAGATGCTTTGTTTTGTAATATTTTTATTGAAATGGCTATGCCCATTCATTTACCTACAGTCTGTAGGTGCTTTCACACAACAGAGTTGAACATATGGCCCACATTGGCTAAAATGTTTTCTACCTGGCCCTTTAAAAAAACTTTGCCAACCCTTACTCTACAGGGTAAACAACTTAATTTCTTCAACAAATAAAATGAGGGGGTAGGGAAGATGGAAGGAAAAACCTAAAGATTAAAAGAGACCTGAATAGTTATTTCAATTAATCACAATGTATAGATCTTATTTGTATCCAGATTCAAACAAACCTATTAAAAAAAATTAAAGACAATTAAACATTTGAATACTAACTATAGTTGATGAAATTAAAATCTTACGTTAGGATAATATAAAAAATAAAGTTTTTTCCCAGAGGTTCATACTGAAATTTTTAAGCGAAAATAGGATGTCCAGGATTTGTTTCAATAATGCAGAACAGGAAAGTGAAGGAAGCAGTAAGTGAAACAAGACCGCCCATGAGTTGGTAATAGCTGAAGCTGGATGATGGTTCCACTCTATGCAGTATTCCTTAATGCACACAGTAAGACAATATATGCACATATTCATTAAGTACATTTGGAAACATTCGATCATGATAAAATCTTGGAACATTTATGTTTCTAGATGTTTCACTATAGATTATTTAGAAACAGGAAAAAAGTCATATTGCTTCAAGAGAATGTCTCTGAAGATGTAGCTTCTCTATCTTTTGATACAATAAAGCAAAACTTGCCCCTTGATGAGAAATAATTTTTTTCATTATCAGAATGTGGTAGGAGCAGGGTCATCTCTAACCCATAAAAAATTGTGAAATTAGAAAAAGGTATCCATTCCTTAAGACATAATAAATATATATATACTATTATGTGAATGGGGAGTCTTAGACATGATGCCTTCACCCAACTCACAACCTGCACAACTATAGGACTGGTCCTGGATGGAAATTTAAAAAGCTAGTTGCCAAAGTACATGAAGAGCTTAACTCTACCTCTCCTGCAAATTAATAATCTAGAAAAAGCACTCTGCCAACATGAGAGTTAATCTCCCTCATCTACACTTTGTCACTCAGAAATGTGGAGACAGTGTGGAGGACAAGTCTATAAACTTTCCCAGGCCTACCATTTCATCCCTGGGTAATCTAAACTAACAGAAACATTTCTCCCCATCGCAATAAACACAGAGAGCCAATATGTAGTCTCACCAGCATATGTGGCTCAACAGCATGTCAAAAGCAAGAAAGCTGCAGGAAAATATGACCAGAGGCAATCAGCTAAGCACCATGAATATAAACCCCACTATATATGCTTCTGGTAAATATTACAGTGAGGAAAAAAAGAGAACTGGTCACTCTTTTTCCTAAATGTGGTAAACAGAGAGACTCCCTATCTCTATTTGAAAGTATACTATTCAAAGAAGCTACATAAGACCCAGACCAGGTAGTTCAGTTGGTTAGAACACTGTCCCAACATGCCAAGGTTGTAGGTTCAATCCCTGGTCAGGACATGTACAAGAATCAACCAATGAATGCATAAATAAGTGGAACAACAAATTGATGTTTCTCTCTCCCCCGCCTTCCTCTCTCTCTAAAATCAATAAAATAAATAAATAGACTAGAATAGAATACATGAACAAGGGGTTCTTTAGTATAGCTATGAGGAAAAAGACAAAGGATAATTTTAAAAAACACTGCAGAAACTGAGCTATAAATGTCTGTTTATAGCATCTGTAAGTCGTGCTTTAAAATGTACATTATATACTATAACATGTACCAAAAACATACTTTAGCACACAATAGAAGAGTGGTTGTTTTCAACACATGCACATACACCCCAAGTAAATTTCTAGGCTTTTATTATTTTTATGCTCGTCCCATCCTAGGAGTATTAAATTAACAAAAATTTAAATAAAGCCTTAAAAGGGATTAGTACTCGTAAATGATTTATTTTATATCAAAGTGACAAAAAAAAAAATCAAGCAGTGTGTGGACTTTCTGCAAGACTGGTAATCAGAGTTATATTGTCTAGAAAGAATGGATTACTTTCATTTTTATTCTCAAAATGGTAGAAAACTTGTTATAACAATTTCTAAATACCCTTCTGGCAACAGAAATTTGGCTGCCAATTTTCAGTATCTTGCACATACCACATAAATAACTTAGTATTAAACTTAAGGCAGTTTTACAAATTAGAGAATTATGAAGTCAAAGTAAGATTCTTCTTCCAAGCCCTTCCACCCACAATATCAAATTCATAGAACTAGATGTAAACTTACTTGGGCTGTTAGAAAGGTATCATCTTCACCTTCTTGGGCTTCAATTTCCTAAGTAAAAGGGTATACAATAGCTGCTTTACAAAATATCTGGGCAACATGAGAATGCTTTTATGCTATACCCAATTATCACTCGCCTTCTGTTCCATACAGTGTCTATGATACCATGCATCCTAAGTCAATGCTTAACAACTCAGACTACGTTTTTTATGCCAGCATAAAAACAGTCACACTGATAAAGAATTAGAAAAGTCTCTTTCGTGAGCCCTTCGTTTCTTAGGGCAGGGAGAAGTGTTCTAAGCCCGACTAAGCACTGATAGCACTGACTCCCTAATCCATTGATCTACTTAAGACATATTGTACTAACATACGGAGAAGCAAAACAAACAATCCATTTCATTCACAGAATTTTAAAATTATATGTTTTAAATTATACTTTCATAAGTAACCACCCCACCCTTGATAATAACCAAAGAAATGCAAATTAACCATTTATATTTACTAAAAGAGAAAAAAGAACTGTCACCAGGTAATGGTGGCAAGGTCAAAGCAAAACTGGTACACTCATTTATATTGGGGTAAAAAACAACTTAAAACTTAAATGTCCCAAGTTAAAGGAGTGGCCATTAGACACATAGAGAGTATTTTAATATTAGCGTAAAATGGATTATAAAGTTATTATGTGGAAATATTATATAGAATTTTACATAGAATAGATAGCATGGTAACTACTAAGTAAAACATATATGCATATGTGAAAAATAAGCAAAAATTAAAAAGATCATCTTAGGTGGCAGGATTCTGAGTGATTATAACTTTAAAAATATATTTTTTGAAAATTCTGAGATTTCCACATTGAGCTAGGAAAAAAAATACTTATTATTTAGTACTTAATTTATCTGAGTCATGTTTTAAAAATACTGGCTCAAGACCTGACTTTCGATGTCCTCTTTCTCTATATCTTCTATTGCTTCTGCCTCTATTAATTCATGAGCTCTCTTGATCTCTTCTGCAGAAAGTAACTCTTTGGAATGCACAGTTTCTTCTTCATTTTCACCAAACTCTTCAGAGTCCTTTAGTTCGTCATTTCCATCTTGTTCATGTGCCTCTTGATTCTCCAATTCACAGTCCTTTTAATGGTAAGAAAATTTGGTACAACTAGAGGCAAAGTAGTGTAGGCTAGCCACCAAACTTTTTTGGTCATTTACATCTCTACATGGTTTAAATTTTACCATATGACATTCCCAAAGTCAAAGTTCAATAATCTTACCTTACATATTAACTATGTCTTTAAAAATAGAGGGGGTCTAATACCAAGATCGTTAAACCACCACATATCTGAGTTCCCATATCTCTCCTACTGAACTACACGTGAATTGGAATGCTTCTAGAGATGTTCTCAAGTTCCAGTTATTTAATATTTACCAACTGACATCCTAGGAGCTGTCCTAGAAGATATGGCTTCAAAGAAATGACTTGATTTCTCCATGTGCCATACTCTAGTTTAACTTCAAAGACCCCAGAAGTCATATATTAGAAGGTTTATTTTTAATTAATAATAAGGAATCCCAACTGTCATACAAATGTCTATTCTTGGAAAATATGCAAGTAATTAACTTAAATGTACTTGTTTTTAAACCTATCACTATGTCACAATGCCAATTAAGCAGAGGAACACTGGCCGGGGTTACTCCCTGACGGAATGTCTGTTGCCTTTCAAAGTTTATAGGTGCATGGCACTCCAGCAGAAACAAAGAAAAGCAGCAATCTGCTGAGATTCCCCTATCACTGCAGAAAAAGGGTTGAAAGCAGTGAATATTCCTTCCTCCTTTCTTATTCCTATAGTAAGTCTAGCAGATTTAGGAAAAGGTTTCTGAGTTAAAAAGAAAAGGGCAGGGGCATGGCTATTAATCATTCATAGATGAACTGCAGTGGAGGAATAGAAATTTTTGAGGGGGCGGGGCAAAGGGAAGAAGTGTGATAGCTTTGGAATGTGGAGTGCCTTGGAGCAGGGCGTCTCCGGGATGGCCAACCTCACTACGGATGAGGGAGGGAACCCAGTGAGCTGAGAGCGGAGTAGGTGATTGCGTGTCAGTAGAAGAATAGGTGCAAATAAGTAAAAATCAAGTTAAGTCACTGAGGGAACTTCCTGTGTTCTAAAGTGCCAACTTTGACCATTTCCTTCATTTAAAAATGGAAGCAATTCCTATATTACTCATCTATCTAGGCAATAGGTGAAACTGGCCCACCCCTACTAGAAATTCCAAACTCAAAATTACCAACTCTGGAAGACAAGGGAAGTATATTAACTTAATTTCTAGCCAGTACATCACATATACTGATACTTCCAAAGTGAAAAAGAAATATAAAAAGAAACTGAACATATATTTAAATAAGATTTTCTTTTAAAAAGCTCTTGTGCTTCTAGACAGTATGACCAGGTTCATTTAATAATAACACAAACGCATCCTTTGCAGCACATATTATGCTGAATAGAAGTATGTATCTCCTTATTAACATTTCAAATAACTATGTTTATGAAATGAAGAACTAAAAGAAAGTTAGACATTTATAAATGAAAAGGTTTTCTACTAAGTAACAATGTTTTTCCAGATTATGGATACTTTTTGCTTAATCATATACTCACTAGTGAAGACAACTACAGAAGGTAAGAACAAGAGAACAAACCTAAAGGAAGATACACCACAAGGAAAACAATACAAGGACTAGGGAGCTCTCAGGGGGTCGAACAAAGCTGATTATGGGCATGCAATCTTCAATTTTAATGGATGCCTCGGCAAATACTGCCCCCAAATTATCTCATTTCAGGGTTAACCCTTTAACTGAACAATTCTTTCTCTCTGTGCATGCCCTCAAAGTGCAAAGTACAAAGTGTGAGGTGTATGGTCTTTGTGTAACATGGGGAGAGTTGAGAACCAGATGGTAGGAGAGATGGGCAGGTGAATGGACATAAGCTTTCTTCATGGTGGAGCACACAGACTCCAGAGATGTTATGACAATATGGATTAACTGTACACAGGAAACAAAATATATGGGGATATAAATGTACATAACTTAAGAGAAAGAATGCTCATTAAATAATTCCTGCAAATGTCACACTACTTAGGGCCTAGTGATCAGTAAGTGCCTGATCATGTTTCAGTCAACAGAAAACAAATAAAAACCCTTAACTATGAGTAAAAAATACTCAATATTTAGAACTACCACAACCCCATTAAGATTATATACATAGCCAAAAGACCTGAATTAGTTACCTTTATAGCACAAAACAAATTTTTATATTTGATCTTTACCAAGTAGCTACACAAAAGCAATTTTCTATTTTAAAGACACATGAACCTAGATTCTGTATATTTTATACAAAAGCTAAACGCACTGAGCAGATGAAAAATACATTATCAATATCCTTCATTGCAGTACCTCATCCAGGAACTAACATATCAACTGTCCTGTGGCTACTCCTCTGGCCCCTATGTCTCAGATTTCTACTTAAGAAACCAGATAAACATTAATTTCAGCTTTATTCTCATTTAACTAAACATAAAGTTATTTACTATATTTCTCAACTATGAAAATTAATGATCTTGAGAATATTATATGAGTCTCTATATTTTACCTACATACTTCAGTAATGTTCAAGTAAAATGCATGAGTTCATCATGCAAAATGCTAGGCTCAAAATAAACATCTTAGCCTGAGTAATTAACACTTTACCTTGACAAAAGCATCATCTTCCACAGAAGCATCTCCACTCAACTCATCTGCTTCCTGTTTTTTACCTGCGAAAGAAGGAAAATGGGCTAACAACCAATACTTAATTACTTTAAGAGCAAATAACACCCAGAAGTTTACCCCGTAGTGTCACTCTCTACTCCCAGTCATCTGACAAAGCCAATGCCGACTGCTTATAACTACCTGCCCATAGCTGCCCCAAACAAAATAAGCTTTAACAATGTCATTCTGTTTCACCAAAATAAACTATGCAAATAATTAATCCTACATATGAACCCATCATCTTAACTGACTTGACATATATGATACATTTTTCTTTACACTTCTCAAATTCCCTAGCTTCAATTCTCCCAGAAGTAGCAGAACTTTTCAACGGTATTCTACTAACTGTAGATATAACCAGATGTCTGATGGCTAAGTTCAAGACTCATATCCCCCACCAAAGCCCTCCCTAAGTTCTCTTCAACAAGTTTTCTCTGAAATAAAATTCTCACACATAATCTGTACCTTGCAATCCATCAGTCGATTGTATGCCCTGTACTCTCAAGTACATCTTGCTTCACCATTTAGAAAAGAAATTCACTAAGCACAGTGACTGCCTGTTATGCCTATTTTGTATTTCTTCAAATGCCTATATATAAATAGTTCTGGGCCCTAAACTTAATGACAGACCTGATTTAGGCAAACAGAAATGACTTCATAATGAAAACTGTTAATAGCTTCCAGATAGATGGCAGGCCTCCCCAACCCAACCCTCAGCTTCAAAACTTTAAGCTGGTGGCCGACACTTTAAAAATGTTCTTCATACCAAAAAATAAACAAATAACATTTCCACAGAGCCAATGCTGAAAGTTTGTTTTCAGGCTGGTCCACAAAAACCTACTTAATTACCCATAATGTATTAGAAATGCTGTTAAAAACACAGCTGTTGGAAACTCAGTATTCAAAACAACTTTTTTTTTTTAAATTCATTCGTTTTGAAATGAGAATGAACATTCTCTTTCCTGAGTCAACTTTTCCCATCGCCTAAAACGGAACTGTCACTCACCTATTCTCTAGTTTCTGTGACCCCAGGGTAGAGAGAGAGGGTTTAGTTGTGAGGTAACTATTTTAAAAAGTTAGGATCTCTCCCTTTCCCTAGTCTCCTCGCCAGCCCCGATTGTCAGTCAGTCTCCTCCCAATTCGAATGAGTGATAAAAAGGGGAGCAAGATACTGGGCCTTCCGGGTATATGAAAAACAAGATTAAAAGTGGGTTTTTTTCCCTTACCCACTGAGGTATAAAAGAGGGCTTGCCCCTGCCCCTGAGGACTTGTGTGAATCAAAAGAGAAAGTGTGGAGCTTAGTGTGACACTCACTTCCTATTTGGAATGTTGGTGTTTGTATCTGAGGGAAAATATAAATTAGAAGTCACTACAAAGGTAATGACTAAGAACGTCTATTCATCGAAAAGTGTTTATTAACCTATTTGTAAAAATTAATAAAGATATTCTTTCCGGGGGGTGGGGGGGGATTTTGGGAACAGTGTCAGGGGAGAAAGAGTACCCTAAATTTTACCACATTTACAGACAAAGTTCCAAACATAAAAACCATTGCCTTTTGGGAGAAATAAGCTTTTTAAAAATACACAAGCCTTTCTGCCCATCTAACCCCAAGAGACACCACCAAATAACCCGCAGACTATTTACTCCTTACAGTTATAAACTGCTTTACAATTTGCAAAGCGCTTTTTAAAAAGCTCAGCTGATTTTTCCAAGCACCCTATGGTAATGGGGCAGGTATTCACAATTTTACAAAAGAGAAAGGAGCCTGAGAGGTTAAATAGCTTTTCCAAAGCTAGTAAGTGGCACTGTCAGAATGGAAGCCAAGGCTTCTCATTTCCAGTCCCAAATTCTTTCCACGACATCTTACTATGACCTACTTAAAAGACATTATTCTAGTAAGGAGTGGTTAATTAACTCGATTTAGAGATACTATCTTTGAAATGGCAGCTCTGAGCAAGACAAACTACACTAACTATACACTATGCATACTCCACGGTGAACCGCACTCGCTTCAGTTTACTTAAAGGAAAATCAAATTATGCTCTGGCGGCAACAGCAACAACCCCAACAGCAGCAGGCCCTGCCACTGTTTAAGTGGTTTCCACAGCTCAGGCACTAGGATAAATGCTTTCTATCCATTAATTTATTTTATCCTTATATCTGAGACTATATCCCAATTTTACAAAAAAAGGAAACCAATGCTGAAAAGTTGATCCGATGGCTAAACTGCTATACTAAAGGCAGTGCTCCAAATTAAACCCAGGCCTGCTGCTACTCCTCAAAACCCATAAAACCATTAGATGTTTGAGTAGCTAAAATGGGCCAGTTTTTAAAAAATATTATCACTTAGTGTACACAGAGGTGCCATAAGCCGCATCCATAAAATTTTTAAATGTGAGACTCACAGGGATTACATAACTTGCCCCATGACAAACGGGCAACAAGAGGCAGAGGTACATGAAAAGGTCCAAATTCACTACCCCTCGCTGTTTCAACAGTTCTACTGCAGGAGAGCACAGGACATTAAATGTGTCATCAGCTTGTAAACATAAAAACCACAGGGACAAGATTTTCATATATACAGTGATGAAAGTATAGTAATAACCTGACAGGTACACAGAACAATCTAGCTTTGACTGCTTTCATAATCTGTAACTTTGGCTTGTTTTATACATGTGGAATTAGAAACTATATTGAAATCATTCTTTTATGAAAAAATCTCACCCTTCCCCCCCACAAAACATAACTTATATTTTAAAAAGCTATGATGTTCACCATTCAGCCTAGAACCTAGTATGGTGCAATAAAATGAGCAGATAGATAACTCAAGTATTATGTATCTCCTGACTCATAAGTGTTAAGTCCAAGGTTGGATGCTAGTAGTACACAAGGTCTGGATTTCTATTTAGCCCTCAATGGAACAAAGAGGTGCCGTGCCAATCCAGTTAGCACTGTGTGCCACCGCATCCTTCAGTATGTACTGTCAACTCCCAACTCTCACGTGGTACAAAGGACATCTATGGATTCCTAACTTACATGATGTCACAGATGAGAAATAAAAAGAAAAACCCAATCCCCCTTGAATTACAACAAGCAACACCACGTTAGGCACATTTTTGCATAGTGACTAACCATTTTTATCTCTATCTCCCATTTTAGTTTGTGCTATGAAAGCTCTAACCCAGTAATAATTTTGTCTCCTGAGGAATCTGTCATGTGCCACAAAAATGTGAATTGTCCAGAGGACAGTAGCGTGACCAGGGTGAGGAAGCTGACAGTTTCTTGTAGACTGAAGCACAACTTTAATACTTGAGGGGCAGAACTAGAAAATAAACTGTGCAGTAAAGATAATCTTTTAAAAAAAAAGGAAGCGAAATGAACTTAACACATCTTACACTATCACAGCAGTAACATACAGCTATTTTGAAATTACGTAAAATACACTGGAGTGTTCTTTGAGTGATTTTAGGGTCTAAAGTAAAATGGCAAAGTAAAAATGTATACAACCAAAGGAGGATAATACTAGAAACATCTCCTTTTCTATGCAACTTATATTTGTGTAGGTCCACAAATCCTTAAGGAAACTGTTGGGACTAGACATGTTTTAGAATAAAAAATGTTCAGATTTTAGATGAGTACAATGGTATACATACCATTAATTAATCTACAGTTCCCAGTGGCTTCTAAAAGTGTCTCTCAATCATTTACAGGAGTATCTGTGCAATGAAATAAGTGCATATTCACACCAAATGGGATAAATCAAGACTATAAATAGCCTTGCTTTTGCTACCAAACTTAAGAAAAAAGTTTCCAGAACTTTGGTATTTCATGATTATGAATAAAGACTTCTGGATTGGCCCTGGCTGGGTAGCTCCCTTGGTCAGAGCGCGATCCTGATATACAAATGTTGCGGGTTTGATCCCTGGTCAGGGCACACACAAGAATCAACCAATGAGTGCATGAATAAGGGTAACAACAAATTGATGCTTCTCTCTCTCTCTCCCTCCCTCCTTAAAATAATTTTTAAAGAAAGTTTAAAAAAAGAATTTTGGATTGTAAATTGGTTTCCTCCTGCAAAGGCAAATTGGTCCTTCAAAGTTTGTAATTTTCCTTTGCGAGTTCAGAAATACTTCTAAAACAAAACAAAACAAAAATCCCCACTTAATTGAAGAGAATTTTGCCAAAAAACTGTGGCTTGAGTAACTTTTCTTCTTAGGCAGTTACACTAACTACGAAATGTAGAACATATTTAGTTATAAAATTTCTGTTGGAGAAGGGGGGGGGGGGAGATTCAGAGTTTAAGCCAAACTGAGTAACATTTAATGTTTCCAGGAACAACCTCTCCCCAACTGCATGGAATATCTTAAAATAATCATAGACTATGCCTTGTGTTAATTGTTTGCATATGTGTTTCAGCCTCTTTTATTAAACCAATATTTTACTAATGAAATCATTTTTCTAAGAGGCCCTGTGCATTGTCTTACACACAGCAGTCACCCAGTAGGTCATTTTATTATACTTGAATCTACTACAAAGATAGGTCACACTCATTATAATAAACGTGAAAAACACCAAGAGTTTGTTTTAAAAAAATCTCTTAGTTTTGTCATCTAGAGATAGCTAAACACACACACACACACACACGCGCGCGCGCGCATACGCACACAGAATATTTTAAAAGGCAGCACAAATGTACTATTCTATTCTATCAATGAAAAGAAAATATTGCTTAACTGCACTGTTGTAAGAATCAAATACAGCTATGTGAAAATTTTTTGAGACCTGTAAAACATATAACATAATGTGCAAGCTGACAGGCAGAGATGAATGGAAATAACGCTGAGTTTCAAGCTCTAGTCTAGAGTTAGTGGTTCTTAACTCTATCTGCATGAGAATTACTTGGAGAACATTTAGAAAATACTTGTGCCTGGACCCCTAATGGAGCAACTGAAACCAAACTTCTGAGGGACAGGCGGCTGGTATATGTGTTTTTAAAAACTCAAAT